GGAGCCTGTATTGGGGACATGACGTTGAGATGATTACTAAAGCAGATTCATCACGTCTGCGTAACCAATTCTACAGTGTGCAGCACACTCACGCACACAAAAAGCGACAGATCAAATATTATGAAAAACCTTTGTCCCAAAATGCTTAACGGAGATAGAGGAGTTACTCAGAGCTGGAAAAAATGAAAATGAATTGTGGAAAGTTGTGAGACGCTCAGAATTGGGGGAAAAAATGTGATGCTCAGGAACGGTACCAACACCCTCTCACTAATCTATCTTGCGTATTTACATTCTGGTCCGACATAAGTCAAAACACCCAGGCAAGCAAACGTTTTGCTATCTTGGTGTTTACATTTCAGTCTGGGGTGTTCTCAGAGAAGCCCAGGCTGAAAAGTTAGTCAACCAGTTCAGATGCTTCAGAAACCCCTTCATGTCAATGCTCATGAATAAAATATGCCAGCTGGCGAAACAGACTGAATTGCCCCACCTGTGACATGTAACACTAGAGCTGGGGATTCCACATTTGCCATATCAGACTACACCCAAGGCGATCAAGGAACTGAGCTGAGTGCACAGAATCACACAGCACAATGCAGTGAGGGCTCTGGATGCATATTTCTACCTTGACTGCTCATTGCAGACTGTGAGGCTTATTCAAATGAACTGTAAACAAATTTTGTATTACTCTTTTATAAAGTTACAGTTTAAAAAAAAAGAGATATCTTGACCCTAGATACCCTGACCATAGTCCATTCCCTTGTATGACTTTATATAGAGATTCTGTGATTGCAGGCAGTTGAAAAATATTGAATCAGTCATGCTTCTTAAAGCATCTTAACGTGCGTGCTTCACATTTTTTAACGAAAAGGAATAGAACATCCAGTGCCTCCAGCATTTTCAGGAGTTTGTGTTTAGATGCTCTTCTACAACTGTAGCTAAACCTCTCACCCTCTAACACTAACAGTAAAATGCCTCCTTTTCAAAGGCACCTACTGGTATTTAATGCTTCTGTCTCCTTCTGTCTTCCTCATCAACACACACACATCTCCACACGCGTATGCTCGTGCGAGCACATGAGTGAATACTCAGTAGCCTGCCAAAGCCCAGTGGTGCAAGTTGAGTCATGGCGTTTTCATAGTGTGCAGGCAGGCAGACGGGGCGAGAAAAAGCACTCACCACATGGACAAATTGGTTCTGCTCAGCATCTGACAGCTGGTGGAACTTGTACGGGCTGATGTCAATGAGCGATGAGACATGGCCGTGGTACGCACTGCAAACAAACGGAAACGTTTACCAAATCAGACATTGCCCTTATTGTGATTTCTTAAAAAATGCTCAAGGTGTTTTGGAACAAATCCACGGGCAGCAGCACTTACTTCTCCAGCGTGATGATATCTTTGTGGCCTGTGAACTGCCATGCCAGACGAAGCGCCAGGTCATTGGCTTCAGAGCTGAAGTTCAAAGGGGCAAGGGTTACTTCGAGTTACTCAGTCACCACAAAATACACAGGTGAAGCCGTGGATATCACCAGCACGTCAGTCACAGTTTGATGTTTTACTTCCCATTATGAGGGCATGTGAGGTGATCTATATATTAAAACTGGAGTTTAATGCTTGCACGAAGATCTCAGAGGAATATTGAAGTTATTACAACCACTAAACATATTTTACTTTACTTTTTAGTATGGTTAACTAGTCAGTGTGTCAGCCATATGGGAACTGTAGCTGAATGGAGTTCAACTGACTGTTCTGGTGTCTTTTCCCTACCTGTGTGTTTATTGTATCATAACAGGCAATTAAGCAACACATGCCTCTGACACATGAACAGGTTAGCTACCTATACCGGTTTTGCTCACTAAAAATGATCCAGCATTTCAAAACAATAGAGCTAGCGTGGCTTTCGACATGAACCTGGCTGCAGGTTTTTTTCTTTTATCCCATTCAACCACACCAGTCTTACTGAGGTGTAACAGTTCCTCTCTAGGGGTTGAGGTCAGGACTTTGTGCACCAAGCTTGAAAACTATTTCTTTATGGATCTGGCTGTGTGCATGAGGACACAAAAAAGGATCTTCCCCAAACGGTTGCTACGGACTAGGAAGTGCAATATGGTCTAAAATGTTGCTGTATCGTCAAGATTTTGTTGACGTAGAACTAAGGAGCCCATGGTATATATAATATTTAGTATATCTTTTCCCCCCTTGTCTTCAGTGTGCAATCTGATTACACCTTTGTACAGACCTCAGAAAACCTTTGCAGTGATAACTTAATGCCTCTGTTTGGTTAGGTTTATTACTTCTCTCAATGCATTTATTTCCCTAAGACTGATAAATAGTTAGTCTAGTACTGAGTCTATATGATCCGTTATCTACTACATTATTACCCTGAGCCAGATAATTCCCGTTCCCACTCCAGCAAGTGGTGTAAATAAGTAACCATGCCAAACTGGTCCGGTGTAATGTCCAAAGCTGAATATGCATTATATTACACTATATAACTATTGTCTGGAAGTCTAGACACTGCAGAAGAATGCTGATCTTTCACTTCTAGCTCAAGCAGACTAATATTGCTGCTGTTCCCAAATCAGCACAATTATAAGATCTGAGAATGCAAACCAGCCAGAGGCAGCACCAAGGAGGATGAGGCACTGCAAAACTAGTTTTTCTGTCTTAATGTTCCCACAGTACGGTAACATTACAGTCATACATGAGCAGACTATACCCGTTCATCTAGTCCACCTCAGGCTACAGTTCAGGTGATTAAAGCAGATGTGAGACAGTATATGAATGTTAACTGCATCTGTAAATCACCTCCACTAAACAGGTCATTGCCTGCATTGTGCCTTTAATAACATCAACTGATCCACACTTAAAAAACAAGTCCGGGTAACCTTCGTGATGTGTGTGCAGTTCAGGGAGAATGACAATATGCAAACATACCCAGAGTTGACAAAGTAACACACAGACAGCTTGTCGGGCAGCGTGGCCTGCAGCCTCTGGGCGTAGAGTACTAGATTGTCGTGTAAGAAACGTGAGTTGGTGTTGAGTAGTTCCATCTGCTGAGCTCCTGCCTTCACCACGTCTGGGTGACAGTGGCCCACTGGGAAATGGAAGAAATGATGCACGCAGGGTTGGAACATTCAGGACAAAAACACGCTTTTAATCATCTGTCTGTAATTTGTGGTCAAACAATACCATGACAACTGATATACTGTTAAAGGCACATAATTGGAGGCCATATGCTGAAATTAAAGAGTGATGAATGTGGTAGGCCAGGAGACGTCCTGTTTTACGTTCCTGTCTGCCTGCAAGTAGTGCAGCGTTAGCCACTCTGAATTATGTGTACATTGCGTGACAACTTTGTCAACGTATGTCAAATCCTTCTGCTCATGCACTGTAGTGAAACCAGTCCTCCAGTTTCAGTCTGAATGCCAGCCTAACCCATGTACAGTATATAATAGAACAAGTCTCGTATGTTTTGCATTTTTTGGTGGAAGTGATGACATATAAGAGGTAAAAAAAAAAAACCTGATGCACATATTTGTGTGTGTGTACCGTGAGCCACGTTGTTGATGCAATCCAAGTAGCGCTGTCCTTTTTCATCATACATGTACTGGCCTTTGGCTTGCACAATCTTGATAGGGTCATGGCTGAAGAAGATCTTACAAGATGGCCTGCAGAGGAGCTCATATTAGTATTTCCATGAGTGCAAAGTGTTCCCTTCACTCTGGTTTAACAGCTTTTAGGTTGTACAGTGTTAATAAAAAAAATATTATGGTTACTTTTTAATTGAACTCATGAGCTGTGCAACATAATGCACACAAATGCTACAGCAGCTTGCAGATAAAGCACTGTATGTTTATTAAAGTGCATTAAATCAAAGTCTAATCCAGTTGCATTTAACTTTGCATGTCACCATTGAAAAACCTGCTTAGCAACCCTTTATCAACTAATTAATTTGTTTACATAATACTATTAGGTTTGTTGGGACACAACTATGTCATGGTGCGTCTCTAGTAGAGGTTTGTAGATTTTTTTGCACTAAAATAAGTTGTGGGGATACTTTTACTTAACGACTTCCATCTTTAATGTAAACAATGCACAGTAATATAAGTGCAGAAAGTCAATAATCTTACCCAATGTGCTTCTTCCTCAAGTCTATCGTCTTCTTTTTCTCAAGTCTTTCGGCGCACATCCTGATGCTGTCTAATGTACAGCTGTCCGCCAGATATCCTCCCCACCGGCTCGAGGTTTGGCTACATCTGCTCGAGCACAAACAACCCGGCTTTATACACGCGCGCGCACGCACCCCACGTTGAGCCGCGGCTCTCTCGCGCAGCTCTCTCGTGCTGCCACCTAGTCGGACATTTACTGCGGACAGCTTGCAGATGCCTCGAGGACAGGTACTCAAACCTGTTCCACAGCTGTTTGATGACGATAGACTGTTTTTACACGTTGAGACGTTATTTACGTGTTTACTCACGTACTGTTTTGAGGTTCCTGTACTTGAGTGTTTGCATTTGACGCTACTTTATTACATTTTAGAGGGAGGCATCATTTTACCCCACTGCATTTATCTGACAGCTACAGTTACTGGTGTGTGTCCAAAAATATGATTAATTAAAAAATGCATTATTAGAGAAAATTGTTCAAATGCATTATAGGTACTTTTACTTTTTTAAATACTTTAGAGTAGATTTTACTGATAATCTGTCACCTTCAAACGTTTAATGTAGCATATAGGACTTTTATTTAGAGCTAGTATAGCTGCATATGTTGCAACATGTGCAATATACACATGGGCAAAACCCATGCAAAAAACCTAAATGCATTTTCTAGCTATTAGCAGCAGCTACTCTACTAGACAACATAATATTCAATAATGGGATATTGAAGACTAGCAATAAAGGCCAGACTACTGTTTGATGTATTTGAAAGACTGTTTATTTGGCTCCAACAGTACAGTCATATGAAATGTCATCTTGAAATATATAGCCATGTGTGAACACAAGGGTCTTTAAAGAAATGTCAATCAAGTGGGTAAAAAAAAAAAAAAGAGTACTGTAATACAAATGCAGAACAGAAACTGAACATATACCACGACCAAAACAATGCAGTTTTAACTCAAAAAAGCCACAATGTGGATTTTGCTTTGAATTTGTTGTCCTGTACCAACAATGTATTTTATTCTGGAGAGTATGTGGCAGTATACTTATAGGAGTAAGGCTGTGGTGCAATGGGGAGTATGTGTAAGAGTTCCAGAGTTCTGAATAAGAGAACATAAAGCAGATGAATGTGACTTAGTTATCCTACACCAGCACTTTTACCCTTATCTGAGAGGTTGTGTTGAAGTGTGGCTCATGGGCGTGTACTGTTTCTACAGAGGAAAACTTGATTCAGAGCATTTTCTGTAACAATGACAAACACACAGACTTAGCTTATCAGTAAGTCATTTTGGAGCCCCTGACCAGCTCTGCTAATACTGATATGGAAATAAAAGGTTTTGGCACTTCTGCTAATAGCAGAATAAACTAAATTTGAAAATTTAACAAGGAAACACAACAATCAAAAATAAACAAACAAACAAAAAAAAAAATCAATCAAATAAAAAAATCAATTAAAAAAGTAGCTGCACATGCTAAAGATACAGCAATTTGTGAGAACAAATACTGTAACAAAGGCTGGAAATCAAAACACAAAATAAAAAAACACAATGCAAAACTTAGTAAATATTAAGTAATGGAAATAGCATTTTAAAACATGAGTGAAGGGACAGTATTTGAGGAAGTTTAAACCAATCAAAATCTGATATTTAATGAAAGGTCTGTGTTTACATTGATTTCTTCGTCTTCTACTAAATTACTACATTTTCTTTCCAGGTAGTGGTATACAGGGTAGCATAACTGAGCAAATGGAGCTATAGAAATCACAATGACGTGATATTACAGCTGCATTTGATGCTACACACATTAACCAAAGTATAAATTGCACTTCTTGTCAAATGAGCACATTTTAACAGTACATTAATAACCCACTATACATATATCAAACTACATTCAATGTAAAGAGAGAGAGAAGAGAGAGCGTGAGAAAAAGATGTGATATTTAACTTGTTACGCGGTTGCATTGGCTGGGCCTGTCAACATTCAGGCCAACTCTGTTGTCATAGTTAGCTTTTTGACACACAAAATTAAATAAAAGCAGATGTATTCAATTGTAAGGCCTATAAGCTGAATTAAATGCACAGTGAATACACACTGGTCTGTAATTTGTAAATGACCACCTTCCCTCACACTGCACCGTTTGCATAACTGTTATGTGATGCCATAGCATGATCCAAAATTCTCATAATATCAACAGAGAAACTGACATCAAAACAACTGAAAGGAATGCTGTTTAGAACCAAAATGCCTTCATTTAAGAAATTATAGAAAAATAAATAATGTACCACTTAAAATATTGAGACAAATACACAAATATATGCACAAAAAAAAAACCTTAAAATTGTTACATACATAAAACCCCAACAACAATAAAGAAACCTGTTGTGTAGTTCTTGCCACTGGTAGAGCGCATCATTTGAGCTGCTGTTGACCTACTATCAGATAGCACCATTATAATCTATACAGATGTGCACCCATTCTTTATAACGATGAGATGAACTGTACAATCAAACAGAAACCATATGGGAAAAAAATCTTCTTCAATCCACCTGTGGTTGCTGCTACATCACAACAAAATGTTGGTTTTTCACATCTGCCCTTACAGTAAATCATCATGCATATTTCTAATGTTGTAAAGAAAAGAAGTACCGAGTATCACCTTGCATAGCACCTACTATGTCAGGAGGCAATCTGAGTATAAGAAAAGATGAATAAACTATGTTGACGTACTGCTCCACTTTTTGCTCCATCTGATATGGAATGTGACATAACTGGCCACCAGTTAGACTGTGGTGTAGCTAATGGAAGTTTACCAATTAACTGCGTCTGTTCGATTTAGCTTACCTTGCACTGTAATACATGTTTTAAGACAATACATGAGGTGTAAAAGAGCAGTGTGAGATTGTTCTGTTCAACATAATCTGACACATCTGACACTACCAGCTGCTGTATGCTGAGCTGAACCTGAACCCCAACCCTGAAACAACGTGTTACGCCTCCGATACACTTGCTCAAATCAATGCTAATTTTCAATATTTAAGAAATCCATAAGTCATAAATTGTGTACATGCAGTGAATTGACAACACTGTACAATTAACATCCCATACAACAAGTCCAGAATGAACAAGTAGCATATTTGTTACACTGTCGGATGCGTTTTGTACAAACGATGAGCTTCTTCAAAACCACTAGTAAGATCAGAGGCTGCACAGTCACCATGGATGCAATCTTACAGTGTGCTCAAGTGAAGCTATGACCTAACATGCTATTTCAACATCCTGTAAAAACAACTCGTATGAAAAACAGTGCGCAATGTGTGACTTTTCAATACTCTTACAACCTTTTTTTAACCAAACAAAGCATACCCTTCTGAAACAAAACACCATTCCAAAAATTCCAAATATGATATAAAGTTGTACATTTCTGATAAAGGAATGAATAAAAGCTTGAGGCACCAAAGGCTATTATACACAAAATACAAACAATGTTAAAGAATGAGAGCAAAAACAAAATAAAGAAAAAACATGATTGCATTCTGTTAACGCTCTCAGTAGACCTTGAAGCGCTGCCTGTCAGGAGAGGCAGATGCTCCAGCTGATCTCTATGGAGATCGATGAGACTCTTAGCGACTCTCCTGCGGAATCCATTCCCGTGCTCAGAGGCGGTTCCTCGAGCAGGCCTCTCCAATCTCAAATCCACGTGAGCCCGATTTGTTTTCCTGTCAGTGCAGAGCCTGCTAAGTTCTCCCCTCTTGTCCGCAGACATGTGGCTGCTGGGAGGCACCACAACGACGATGATTGCTGAGTGCAACAGTGAAAACCTGCTGATATCATACCCTCTCTCTCTGCAGGCATCACCACAATAAAGCAACAATAACCAACAGCTTTTTACTTTCTGGGGATTTTCAGGCTACCAGCCATGGCGTGACTCCCTTGGGAAGATTAAAGGAAAGCAAAAAATTACTAATTTAGAGCTCTGGGGTTGTTGTTTTCTTATGTTAGTGTTGTTTTTTTTATCTTTTTCTGCAGAAGCCATGACGCAACCACAAAACAGTGACATGTATGTACAATACATATAAATATAGTTTCATTATTACTACTCATGCTTTTGCAGGGTCAGGGGTGCAATGTTCTGTTTGGCACAGTGCTGCATGAATGGGTGGTGAGCTTGTTGAGACGAAACGACACAAAACACCTAGCGTTTGGTGTTAGAGAGCCAGTCCAGATCCCCCCCATCCTCCACTTCCTCCTCCTCCTCCTTCTTTCCACGTCTCCTTTTCACCACCGTGAGTCTGGCCGGGCTGCGCCGCTCCAGTCTGAGCCATGCAAAGACTACAGAGACAAGTTCTCTTGCCAGCTGAGGATCTGAACTCCACCACGATGTGGATGTGAGAGAGCGAACACACACACACGGTTGTTGTTGTTTTTTCCACACGGTGATGTGAGTAGAAGCAGCTTAGGGCGTGAAACTCGGGACAGTTATCTCTTTTTGTATCATTGTACACATTGACTTCTTTTTCTTTTAGACTTTTTTTTTAATCCATTAAAAAAACTATAAATACCATAAAAGAAGCATTATTTACAAACTCCATGCGTTTCAGGTTAGAGTGATCACTGCAAGAAAAACACAGAAGAGAGAATGACATGAAGATGGACATGTTTTCACATTGTTTCATGACTTTGAGAGTTGTAAAATCTGGTTTGACACAGTTGTTACGACTTGGGTAACAGAAAAACCCATGCAAACATAGAGAAGCTGAAACCCACATGAAGAAACTGAACTGACACGGAGTGAACAAAATATTAAGAGCACTTTCTATGTCCATTTAACAGGAAAGAGGAATTGAATCACAGTCCAAACTATGGTTTTGATTCCACATTCCAAACCTAGATGCAATTTACTTCACTTTCCTGTATGTATTTTAAATATGGCCCTTATATTTTGTTCACTCTGTACATGTGCTGCACTATTGAAGTCTGTAATGTTACTCAAATATGTCTTACCTTCTGCCAGCAACCAGGCATTGGTAATCCATCTGGGCCCTGTTTAGAGGAGAGTAGCAGGGGAAACAACAAAAATATGAGGACTGTAAACAGGAATGGGAGGTTTGCTGTTAATAGATTCAGCTCACACAATGATTTAAAGTTTGATAAATGACTAGATTTGAACCCACAAGAACACATAACAAATGTCATACTTTAAGCTACTTCATAGAAAGTTTTTTTCCCACAGATAATTTAATTCAAATCAAACCAGAAGCAAAAGAGGAGTGTTCATCAGAAACCTCACTTCTCACATCTACATTAATTATACTATTTCTACTACTTACTTACTATTTCTTTTACCTGATGATTAGAAACTGACAGTCAACACGAGTAAACTGTGTTTACTGCTTTCTCAAAGAGTTAAAAATATAGGATTTCTGGGTATTGAAGTCCTCAAAATTGAAAGTTTGTTTAATGTGTAGCTGCTGAAAATTGCATCACTATGTCTATGTTGAAATACTGAATTTAATGCTACAGTGTCTAGTTTAGGGAAGGAAATGTCACAATGTAAACTGCACAAACTTTCTCTGACTCATTGCACTTGATGTGAAATTAAGTTCTTTAAAAAGGATTTTTATGTAGCAGGAATTTGAATTTTGAATAATTTGAATAATGAATGTAATGAAAACTGCAAGAGTGTATTCTCATCCATGCACATAATACACAGCAAAAAATACAGTGGCTCATGCACATCAATATACTGATGATTCTACTCTCTGATTTTATTATAGTTCATCTCAAAGTTGAGATGAAAAACACTTACAAAATCAGGGAGTTTATCTTAAGATAAAGTCATTGCAGCTGGTTCAAGTCAATGAATATAGATGACATTTAATGAGATGACATTTGTGATATATGATTTTTTCTTACCTATAACTCATTTCATTGCATTATGCTTATATAGTCACAATGTTCTCTTACAATTAGTTCTCATGTACTTTAACCACTAAACATTCTACTCACAGTGTTAGAACTCCCATGCATAACACAGTATTGTCTTAGCAGCAGAAGGAATCATAAAATCATCAAAATTCATGTTCTCATCTTGAATAGGTCTGGAACTGTAACCACTTGACTGATTTTCTCTTCTAGTTGTGGTCTGGCCCAATTGGTACAAATACAGGAAAGGGAAAGGGGGAGTTAACAGAGTAGAGGAGGGGTCCATGTGCCAGTAGCATGGGCATCAGTAAAGGAGTCTGTGTTAGCATCGGGTTAAATAGGTAACTGGGGCTATGGAGGTATCAGCTTGAAGGAAACAGGATTTAAACAGAACCCTTTTCAGGTTTTAATCAGGGGAATGGAAGGATTCAGTTAGAGGGATAGATTTAAGTATCAATTATATCAACAACCATATGTTTATTTGTATACTTCACTTGTCATGATGTGTGATATCTAAAAGAGGCTGCTTGCAGTCAGGAAGTTAGTGAAGTATATGTTGGTGCGTGTGTTTTTTTTGTTTATTTTTAAACAATTCATGAATGGAAAATGGAGCTGTGCTTCAAATAAGGCATGTTCATGATTGTTAAGCTCTCAAGTCATGCATGGTTTGCTGTCAGTAATGACTGAAGGTGAGCAGCATGCATGGGCAAGAGGTGGAGGAAAAAGAGAAATACTGTACCAATTGGCATGGGGCATCCAGCCCATCCAGACCTGGCTGCCCTGGTTCCCCCTTTTCACCCTTAAATCCCCGGAAACCCTGTTTGCAAAGATGACCTAGGAGTGTTACTGGGAGAGAGGTGGACGACCCTTAACCCTTGCATCCGTCCACTACAACGGACACAAGGGGTTGGCAAGGGAGGAGCTGCCCTGTGAGCGTGCTGATACCACAATCCAGCCAAAATTATATGTTTTTCAGCATTAAATGGTTTATTTTTGTGTTTGAATTGCAGAGTTACAGGATAGTTTCCTGGGTTTTAGGACCATTCTATGGTCTGGTGGAAGCTGGGTATCTGTTCAGCCACAGGGCTCTCATCCTTGTTTGGGGACGACTGCTCTACAAGGCTGGGAGGCGATTTCCAGCTCACAGTTGGAACATACCAATGGGCAGGGTGCATCTAATCCAGGGGCACCCTGTTCTCCTTTCTCGCCCTTAGGCCCTTTTTTGCCCTTCTTTCCCTTCTCCCCCTGTGGATACAACGATTTGGTCAAGTTAACATCATTTTTTTGAACATTTGGGACAGCACTGCTATTGGGAGGGAATGATTAAAAAGCGGAGGCTATGGCCCACAAAGGAGAAAGAGACATGGTCAATGTTAGATAGGAGGGGGATATCAGACAGTATTGGGTATTCTAAAAACATTCCTCAGGACAGGAGGAGGACAAAAAGGGGGAATAATACAGTAGGAGGGAGTAAAAAACAGAGCTGATCGCCAAAAGGGGTGTCAAGGGCACGAAGGATGAGAAAGAGTAGCAGGGAAAAAACCTCCAGAGGGACAGAATTAAATCTACGACACACTGAAAACGTTCAAACTTCATATTTGGGTTAGTCATATCTCACTCAGTGCATGCATGACAAAATACACAATAAATAAATGTTTGAGGTACCTTTTTCTGTACTAAAGTTCCCAAATGTAATGGCACAGGAACATTCCTAGCCCCTCATGAGATAAAATGTGCAATTGTAATTGTACTTTTAATGGTGTGAATTTGCAGGAATTTGTGCCATACTGTATTGTGTGCATGCATTTTGTATTCTATTCTATTCTAGTGCCTGTTTATGCATTTTCTTTGATCATCATTCAAATTCTGTCATCCATAATCTTTCAGTGTTGACAGCTGTTGCTAAGTACCCGGAAGAGAAGCACCGCTAAGATCTATTCTGTATTGGAAATAAAGAGATTCTCAGAGTATTTGTCTGAAGTAAGTTTATCCTCATGCACCAAGGAATGGGATACAGTTTCTCAAAGACATGAGAAATACATTATACGTGTAAGTAAGTGTGGAAACATACAGATTAGCACTGAAAGAGAGATAAACTACTGTATACACAAGCAAGGGTGAGTTATCAACAGGCTCAACAACTTGTGGAAGTGAAATGTTTTTGTGTATGTCCATGCATGGAAACAACAGAAATAAAACAAACATGAATTTAAAGAGCCTGTTGTCAATGGACTTGTTCGGTCTAACATGTTGAAATCACTTTTTTTTTATGCCTCAGAATGAGATTTGACTTGTGATTTTGAGAAATGAAATGGCATACATTCAAAAGTGGAGAACAAAAGCTGGATTGGGAAGATGATATTTTATGCAAAGGAAACTTTACTTTGTACAGAGTTGTTATCCAATTATTTAGTTAAACTTCTGGTCGAGTTAATCTCTCAAGAAAGTAGAAATGCTACCAAAAAAACATTAAACTAGCATGTTATGTATAATATAAATAGTACAATATAAGAAATTCATTAAGAAGCATATATTTAAATTCCTTCCAACCACGCTATTCCATCCAACAACCACATAATCTATGTCAGAGTCTCAGTGTATTTAAAATGAGGAAGAAACTAAACTTAGCATACAAAATACCTCTACAGTATATTTCCTGTCACTGTCCATTGACATCAGTCCTCTGTAATGTTAAGGGGTTGACAAGCCATCATATCCTCTCTACATCTACCTTTTCTCCTCTTTCCCCAACGTCGCCTTTCTCTCCCCTTAAGCCTGGCAACCCCTGTAAAAGTACAACTCCACTGAATTACTCTTTACTGTGCAAAGACAATAGACTTGTCCTGACAAGGCTGAAGATAACACATCAGGGTCAAGCTAAAAAGCAACAAGAAAAGAAGCTGAGAGAGGGTGAAAAGTAAAATAAATGAGAGACCAAGAGAAGGTTGAGGGATGTGAAACAAGAAACAACAAAATCTTACTGCTGCTGTATTTAGAGTTTATACATTCTCTATTTAACCAATATGTAACTGGCCTTTAAATATAGAGAAATGTCATAAAAAAGGGAAAAAGCTGTAATTCTTCAGAATCAATGGCAATAACATATTAAAATCCAAGGTCTTTAACAAAAGTTTGAGTCCACTATTCCACCATCACTGATTAGTTAGTTAGCACCACATAATATACACAGTAAACTCCTATCTGTACTCACACTGAATCAGTTGGATTGTAGAAATAAAAATCATGCCAACTTCAGCTCTACAGAGTGTAGCCTATTCCTAGGTTACCTGCACGTCTTGGTGCGTATTTCATGACTTATGGGATAGGGCTCTTTCACATAATGGGACTTTTGGGAATATATGTGATACTTGTGGGATGGGGTTTATGTAAAATGATAAATTGAGCTGTTGCAAACAGTGAGTTGTGCATGTTCTCTATGAAACGGTGCTCCACACTTGGTTCTAAATAATTAATACTTATTGAATTTCCTTCCTCATGCTTTATGTCACAACTTGCTAAGTTTGTTTTTCACAATAAAAAGCATGTTTTTGGTATATGTCAAAGCAGTTGATTCTAGAGAGTTGGTCCAGTCTCTTTTTCTGATATTGCTTTTATATTTAAAAGCTTTTTAGCCAAGTACCCCTGCAGTATACTGGAAGCTGCCATTTGATTCTGTGTCACATCTTAATGCTGAAAGAGAGAAATCTGTGAAAACAAAGTTTTAGAGACTTACATCCAAGCCTGGTGTTCCAGCAGCTCCCTGCACATAAAGAACAAGAGTTGCATCATAATTTTCATGAAACACTGACGTTTACATGCATCTAACTCTCTCAGTGAGAGCCTGCACAAATATACAGATCATGCCTGGTTCAATAAATGTGGAGAAATGTAAGCAGCTGTTGTTTAACATGATATGAAACATCACATTTTAAGTGTGTGTTTTAGTGTGTCTGTTTCTCTAAAATATATGTGTCATTGTCACCCAGAACAGTTGTAAGAACTGGTCAAACCCACTCCAACCTATAGGAATTTCAGCTTTAACCCAATTAGCGAGAGCTGAGGACTCAATGTTCCAATCCAATAGTGAGGTTGAATAAAGATAGTTTCTTCAATATATCCTCATCATACTTACAGGCAGTCCATAAGGTCCTCTTGGTCCAGGCTCGCCCTGTGCTCCTTTCTCACCCTAATACAGAAGAATCAGTGTTGCAGTCACATGAATTGTAAAGTACACAGTCACTTTTCAATGAGCCAACACTAAAATTAAAGTTAAAATGTATCATCAGTCAGGTATAAGGACATAATTTAATATCTTACTATGTCACCCTTCGGCCCAGCTGGACCAGCTGGACCCGAAGGCCCATCCGTGCCCTGCAAACAGCAGCGTGGTCATGGTGAGTTTACTTCATTGGACTACAGCAGGTATTTCAAAATAAAGTCCATTTTTCAAACAAATAACAGATGGAAAGCGAAACTCATGTTTAGCATCCACATTTGTACAATATTCCCATCTGGTTTGACCTACAACCAGCACACAGAACTGCTGCTAGTACACGTGCATTGGCCACAGAGGACATTTACGACACTGCTGACACAGTTAATGTATGAGTGTGTGTTAATGCTGAGTTAATGCAACACGGGACAAAACGAGAGCCTTGAAATGACGTAACAGCTTTCTGTATGGTCACTATCCTCAGAACTCAACTCAGTGTGGCTTAATTAAAGTCATGACACCTAACTAAGATGTAAACATCCAACAAAAGCTTATAAAACTTCGTTTTTGGTCACAATGAAATACAATATAATCGGCTGATGGTGGTACAGAAGTTGAGGAAAAGGGGAACTGTATGGAGGGTGAGAGGGAAAAGAAGTAGGCAGAAGTTTGGGTGGTGAAGCCTCTTGGTCACATGACACTCACCCTAATTCCGGGCTTGCCGTCCAAGCCGGAGGCTCCCTGTGTGGTTATGGAGGTATGAGTGACATGAACAAGGCGGGATTAGTACCAGATGAACACTGTTATTAGGACAGGTTGATGGCAGGGTTTACAACAACTAAATTACACTGTGTGTTACAGGGAGGTCACAAAAATAGTCAGCCCAGGCAAATGAAAATGGGGACAGAAAATGGAGAAGACCATATAAACACACACACACACACACACACACACACACACACACACACACACCACGCACGCACACCTACACGCACACACACTCAAATGTGTGCACTAATGCACAACAGGAAATCGGACATGGCTAAAATAGAAATGAGAGATTTCTATAGATGTCTTAGGAAATAAAGGACAGGGCTTTGCAGTTGGAAATATCCCATGGTGCACGGCTGTACTCACGGGGAGCCCCAGTGGTCCGCGGTCCCCTTTGTGTCCTGGTTCCCCTCGCATCCCCTTCACACCATGCAGACCAGGTTCCCCCTATAAAAAACAAGGGAAGTAGGTGAGCATGATACAGTTTCTGTACCTGCAATTGCACCTGTGACTCTTTTGTTTCATTGATGCTCGTTCCTGTGGTTCATCTTACTTTACAGTACTGTAATATACATCCTTGTACATCTCTGCAGTCCTGTAATTGTCATCTTCTGTGTCATCTATCAGTAAAAAAGACTAATATTCACTGTGTCTGGACCCTTCCTCCTTATTCCTTAGCTCATGTAGGTTGTTAAACAGCATGGTACTCATCTAAAAAAAAAGCATTTGCTACAATAATGGCATTGCTATAATGCTACCAGTTTCTACAAGAAATCAGTGACAGAACATACAAACTAATACTGTAAGTGGCATGTTTATGACACACTCATCTAGAGCTTGTTTTTTTCTATGATTAATACATGTTTCACTTTTGTGTGTCAAAGGGTGGATTTTAAAATCATATTACTTGTATATGAAACACATATAATGTAATATAAATAGTCTTGGGCCTAAATACATCACTCAGTATTCCCAGGATCAAAACCAAGCAACATGAAGCAGCTTTTAGTTTACTTTCCTATAGATTAGATGATTTTTAATTTGTAACTATTTATTTGCATGCTTTTGTTTTCATTGTCTTTATTGTCTTTTAAAAACAATTTTCATGTTTTTTTTTTCTTTATGCATCTGAACTGCCTTGTCCTGAATTGGATTTAACTGAGGTATCTGAGGATGCACAAATAAACAAATATTTAATAGGAAGATTTCAACTGTTTATACAGCAACATTTACAAATTATAATGTGTTACAGTTCTCACTAGAGGGTAATGGTTAGAAGGACTAAAAAGCGGTTTAATTACAGTCATAGTGACTGAACGTACATTATCATATATGTGAAGAGGCTGTACTTTACCTTTGGTCCAGGGAAACCATGGGGGCCCTGAAAACATGAAAACATCCCAAAACATTAGTTTGTGGCTGGTCTCATAAACAACTATATTTATTTCTTGTTTTATACAACTAAACAATGTTTTTTTTAATCTAATCTGTCCTTTTCCATTTTGTCCAAATCACAGGAAATAAGTTGCTGTTGAAGATGTGAGGAAGGGATTGGAGAACAAGTTCAGCACTATGAATTTCCCCACAGTCAAGTATTGCCAAGTACTCAGCCCTGTGTTTTCTCTTTCTTTTTTCCTAGGTGATTCTATACACAAACACTGCTGTGGAATGACACAGAGGACAAACTGGTATACTGGGGAGCAAATATTCAGCTGAAAGATGCAATCAGAAACTGAGGGAACCCGTTTGTTGGCTAGAGTTTTGTCTTTTAGCCTTTAAAGCTTTAAGTTAAGATGTTAAAAGTTAGAAGTTGTTTGATGTGAGCACATAGAGGCATGGACTTGTTGGAACATGAACCATAGTGTATATGTTTTGTATGGTTACTGTGATTAAATAATCTGTAATCACAATCTTTTCACTCCAGCAACATAGAGAATTAAAAACACCTGTCTATAAACGGGTTGGGCTAGTGTGCCACAAGGAGGACAAAGGTTTTAAATATGCTGACACATTGTACAGCTGCTCATTACATTACAATCAGTTATTTAGAGTCAATATTCTGTGAGTATGGTCATAAATGACATGTACAAAATGTATATTTGCATATTCATACTATGTGATTAATTAAAGTGTGGGATGTTCTACCGTAAGTATAGTAAACTGTCCACTGATGAGGCTTTTTAGACACACTTACCATGGGTCCTGGGGGTCCATGTGGCCCTGGTGGTCCTGGAGGACCACTGATCTGGAAATATTTAACATATATATTTTATTATTACTGAATAATGGTGATTATACTTTGACTGCATCAACAGCATGAATGTTTGCAATGAACAACAACTTTGAGTATGTTTATGGCAAGTCATAATAAATGTTTAATGTGACTTACTGATGGACCTTGAGGACCAGGTAGACCTGAATCTCCCTTGTCCCCTTTCATCCCATTGACACCCTAAGGAGCAAACAATTCATAAGACATGTTTAGATTCTGTTTGATAAGATGGTTAAAGAGTCTGTGACCACAAACAAGATTTTCCAAGGGCTTATTAGAAAATTGTAGACTTACAGGTAGCCCAGGTAAACCAGTTGTTCCTTTCTCCCCTGAAGCGCCGGGCATTCCCATGTCTCCTTTGGAACCTTTGTAGCCCTGAGAGGGGAGGGCAAAATGTACACATATTTAACTATGCACTATTGGGATATTTATAGAGTAATCCTGAGTTAATAGCCTCATCAATATAAAGTGATTTAAAAGGACCACTGTGTTCGATTTATTTGCATCTAGCGGGGTAGTTGCAGATCACAACTCCCTCGTTTCATCCTCCCTTTCTAAGGAGAAGGAGAAAACTGTAGTGGTCGTGAAATGTGTGAAAACCTAGTTATGGATTGTTTATGTATATTTATATCTTCTATTTTTGCTAATAGATCCTCCTAAATGTTACACACTGGACCTTGAAGTAAAGGTCTTTCTTCTAGATAAACTAGATCAAAATTTAGCTGATCAATACATAAATATATATCATGAACTCACTCTTTCACCATCGAGTCCAGGAAGACCAGGCATACCACGGTCCCCCTTGGAGAGGAAGAAAAGACAAAATCTTACAAACATAATAAAACTACAGGTGTTTCCTGTTTTATTTTGCTATGGGACAGTAATATATGGTGATTTTTAGGTATAAGAAAGAGGTTACAGTTAACATGAGATGTGCACATGTAAGGAAACACTCAATACTGTAGATGGGATGCAAAAAAGTGCAGAAAATAGAGTTTACCTTTAAACCCTGCGGTCCCATTGGCCCAGTAGGTCCAGGAGGACCCTGTACACAAAGACAGACACAGGAGTAGATTTAATTACACTTCTACTCTACTGAGGATATATACTTTTTATTGGGTTTGAACAATTCAATACACATTTCATAAACAATGGAGCTGATCATCACAATGAAATGACTTGCAACGGGCAAAATGTTAGCAATCAGTTATGAACTATGATGCTCAACTGAAAGACACATGCTAAAGTCAAAAATATGTTAGCTAGAAAATATGGATAAATAATTATCATAAATAAGAGAAATTCAAACACTAAGTTCAGTATAAGTGACACTAAACATAATAATTCTTCCCAATTTGAACAATTTCTATTATTTGAAATGTGTGCATTTCTTTTAAAATGGACAATAAATTATGTACTTAGCTCACATAGCTTATATATTTAGAATTAAATACTAGAATTATGTGACAATGTGTGATAAACATGCCAATTTCCTGCAAGGCTATCAAACATAACCCAGATAAAGCTGAGTTTTGGTAACAAAGATGATTCTTTAGGAAGATTTCACTTTCATGTGTGATGCTAAACACGCTAAATCCCTTCCAGGCTTACCAACATAATACATAATGTTGCTTTTGTTGTCACTTTCACAGGATCTCCACTGTGTTTTCCAAAACTCAGTCAAGTGTGATTCTTTTTTATTTCAATTTTTGAATATAAAAAAAAAAGAATATACATGTAGCTTTCTTAGATTATATAGTTCATTTTAATACTTGGCTGGACAATCTGTGATCAGTAGCATTATAACCCTTCCTCCCACTTTCTCTGCAATTTGTACAGTTTTTCTATCTATATTACCTGGCTCCAGATTTGCTGTGTGGAAACTTGATTACAATTAACTGAACCCAACGATTTCGAAATATGCATTATATAAGTAAAATACTGAAAGAATGTGGGTCTTAAAACTACAACTTCGAACACAGACCCTTTTCAAGACAAGGTCTGAAGCACATTTCAAGCTCTTATCATATAAGTCAATATTAAACTTGATTAAACCATGGCCTTGGAGTTCTGGAGCCGTCGCTCGCTTTGCCTGCTTGGCAATCTAGCCTCAACTATAATCATGACTGTTCTATGTACTTTGATGATGATTTTGACCAAAAATGGACTGGAGTGAGGTTATTTCAAAGGGATATTTTACCGACATTCAGATAGATAACCAGCAACTCAGGCAGCTCATAGCACTGATCACAGAGAAGCATAAACGCAGCACTTAGTACTGATTCATTCGCTGTTAAACAAACATGTTGCTGGGTAAGGGAGCGACAAATACAACAAAGCAGTGCAAACCAAGGTGTGAACTGGGTTGGGCCCATGCGAGGACAAAATGAATTACTTGATACTACATGACACAGAATACACAGAGCCTAATTACCGTTACTGTAATAGTGGTAATCTTCTGCAGTAGGCCAAAGGAGCGGAAACGGAGAAGACATAAGATTGCAGAGGTCATACAGGAAAGAAACCTTTTGTGTCAGCACATTTCTGCACAAATACACCCTCAAAATTAGTTATTTGTTAAAGAACAGATGTTAGCCTTTATTATCTGTAGAGGACATACCCTGAAAAGATTGTTTAATTTGAGGGCATTGCATTAACTTAAGGAATACACTTTCATTTACGACTGTAACTCAGCAGAAACAAAGGTTGCATGTGCAATTTGCAATGTGACAAAAATCTTGTGAAAAAACCTTTTTGTATTGTGACAATGACATTGCAAATAAAATTAATTAAATTACTGATTATTTACTAATAAGTAACCAAAGTGATGTGTTTCACTGTGCCATCTTCTCTTGCAGATTCAGGTCTTTTTGAAGCAACAAGAATAAGAGTTGTGTAAGAATACAATAAGAATATGAGTTAAGTTATGACTTGTCTGACCTGTAGAGCCTCCTGGATGTTTCCATTGTAGTCGATGATTTCAGTGGCTCCTTGGTCTCCTTTCTGCCCAGGAGGGCCCTGCACATGATCAACATCCAGAAACACATTTAAACACGTTCTTTCATACTGCACACCTGATTTATACAAACCATCATGTGTTGAGTAATATCAGTGTGCCTCTTTTCCAAAAACTGCTAAGGTCTGACTGCTGCCCCCTGGTGGTAACCTATGTGTGGTTTTACTAACAGTAAGTGTGCAGTGAAGCATGTCATAGGAAATTAAAGTTTTAAAGGTTTCAGCATGCAGCATCATGGCATGATTGGAGATGGGGAAGAACAGAGGCATTTATCTTCTTTAATGTACTTTCTTACCCTTGGGCCAATAGATCCCAAGTCTCCTTTATCTCCAGTCTCCCCCTAATGTGAGAAGACAACAAAAATGATCAAAGACTTGCCTATAAAATATGGAATATGGACTGTATCAAATATACATCGCTATTATGGTGAAAGAAGTTCTAGTTCTTGTATTTTGTATGAAAACATAGTATAACACATACTACGTGTATGTGACTTTTTATTACTAAGTTTTATTTTACAACAACATTTTCTGACAAAATGTAATGTGCTTAATATAAGACATTTCCACAAGTACAACAGTAGTGTTTAAGAAAACAGTGAATCTAATCTAAGATCTGGATCACCTGCAGAATATAATTAGAGGATAAACTAATTAAGACGCTGTGTTTACCGAACTTTAAGAAAACATATCTGCCACGCTCACCTTTGACCCTTTAGGACCAGGTGTACCAGACTCTCCTTGGGAACCCTGCCATGAGTTAAAAAGAAAAAAAAAAACACATGAGGAAAAGAGTCATGATATGAGGGACATTATAAAAAATAAAAGCTAAGTACTTACGATATAAACATGACATTTAAAATAATAAAACAAACTCTCTTTATGGGTTCAATCCAAATTCATCATAAAATATTCAATGCATTTAAAATGCATATTTCACAAAGGAAATATTATCAACCTTCCGTACTTCTCCCGGGAGAGCAAGTCCACCAAAATAACCAGCTTTTAATATGCCATAACTGCCACGCAGAGGGGAAAGTGTTTATTTGAACTCTGGCATTGATAAAAGATGGGTTTCACTTTTGGGGTTTCTAATGGGATGTGAAACAGATCTGTGGGTCGTCTAAGTTTAGACTGGAGCTTAAGCTACCTGCTGGGTCAGTGCCAGACATAAACAATGGTAAACTCATTTATATTTGGTTTACATTATGCAGACTCCAGGGAAAGCCTTGCACTTATTATAAAGCTATAATGGTTTAGCCAGCTATTAACATCATTGAATATTTGATGAATTCAATGAACTCTTGCTTTAGGAATGCATTCTACTTTTTCTTTTTTAAAACTCTGGGAATGTTATTGTGTGTAATTAAATTAGCGAGGCTCTAGATGGCAGCAAAAATCTATGAATTACATGGGTGAAAAGACAGTTTGAAGAAGTAGTAAACCTCACACACATACTACTGAATGATCCAGTTTGTTTAATTTTGCCATTTATCTGTGCAAACATGCACTTAAATAACTGACCTTTGGTCCAAGGGGTCCAATTTCTCCTCTTTCGCCCTTTCCTGGTGGTCCGTGGTCACCTCTCTCACCCTATACAGAAAAAAGAACAAACAGCTCAACAACAAAGGTAAGTTACCGCTGTTCTCTTGCAACCTGTATTTAATAAATGTCACACAGAACTGCTGAACAAGGCTCTGTTTCTAGCTTTTTACTGTCAGCAGAAGAGCTGTGATGCATCTTCTGAACATAAGGCATGAACCTCAGTTTCCTTAATGTCATGCTGACATGACTGAGGAATCTACTATAAGAGTCTCCCGCCCTTCTTGTGAGGTTGCTTACTCAACAGACCGATGGTGAATGTTTATGCTGAGTCATCACAAGCTGCTTTCCTGGTAGATTGTGACCCTCTACAAGGTCGAAATGTTATTTTTAAGAAAAGCCCAAAAAATGCATCTGCATCCAGCCTTCTTTGTCCTTAAGATGAATATTTAAAGACAAATGTAAATCCTTTGTTGTATGGTAGTGGGTATTTTCTGAAGTGACTTAAGAAAGCCAATAGAGGGGGGTGTGGTATAACTCTCTCTATTACTTATTACTGATACTTAAAACCAAGTGGGACACAAGTATTATTTAGCAGCGTTGAGTCAATTAGGCTTTGGTTTTTATTCAAATAACCGCCTACTGATGATAAGCAGACTTGAAAATAAACCTACAGAGTCGTTGTTTGAGAGGTGTTTAAAAAGACTTGAGCAGTACCCCCTGAAAAATCTGGTAAAACCGCCAGTTGTCTCAAACCTGTGAGCAGATCACTGAACACAAGGAAAAAGCATCAGATAAACAACTTGCTGCAATGCTCCTCCTTTTCTGCTATACCCTGACATTTGATTAAGCAACGGATGTATACCAGAGCACAATGCAAGGGTTATATATCCTGATTATCAATGCACTGCAAACAGTCTGATGCAAAAGGACAATGCGAACATTAATTCTAGTGTGTCTGGATTATCACTGCTGGCTCCACGGTGTGATAATGTCACGACTCAAAGGGAGCGGCGAGGATTAGCTCATTCTGACCACTTCCAAGTGACATTTTGAAGAAACAGAGGCTTAATCACCTTGGTAAAGTGATAATAATGCATAACAAGACCATAAACCCAGAGCAATTACTGATTTCTATGATAACTATAACAGGATGTGATAAAAATCTGTCAAAGCTGTCGCAACTCATCGTCATTGACGTGAAATATGTGTCACTGAGCAGAAAATACCTCTCATATTGTGACAAACAAGCTGTGGAAAGCTCAAGTCAACCCACCTTTGTTCCTGGGAGTCCTGGAAGCCCTGGTTCTCCCTGGGGACCGAGGAATCCAGGCTCACCCTGAAAAATAATCAGCAAATATAACAAATTTTTCAACAGGGCATTTCTGGTGAAGCACTACCTCCACCCCGCAGCTAATGAGTGCTAAACACGTACACAAGATGCATGGCCAAACATATTCAAAACGACAGGCATGCACTTGGTGCTCGCGCACTTTTCACAAGCGCGCGCAAACACACACTCAGGGACGTGCATAAATCACACACACACACACACACACACACACACACACGGTTATAAATTATGGCTTGTTAATTTATCCCCTGGTTTCACATCCATTAATGACTCCCTCTTATGAGCCCTAATAGACGTTATGACTGACCTTGTTAGAAACTCATCAGGGCACACAGAAGTGTTCTGAGTAAGTGTGTGCAAAACCAGGTTCTCTGCCACTTATGAAGAAGCTTTAACATTTTTTTGCATTTGCACTTTCACGTATTAGGAGTGAGCTTCCAGTATGAGGTGTGAAGCTTGATTTGATTTACATTAAATTTGATTGTGAAATAACCTAATTGGAATATATTTCTTCACCATCTGCAACCAGACTTCCCACCTATAGTAGTTTAGGCTCTGTGGAAGCCTGTGGAGAGGTAATGGACACTCAAACGTTGATTGGATAAACAGCCAAGAATGTAGAGCAGAACAAAGTGCAAGCTGAGCTCAGAGCCCGCGAGTGCTACGTTCGCAAAATATTGTTAGAATCCATCAAGCATTCAGGCCTCTTAAGTAAAAACAGGAGTATATAAAATGTAAAATGAAAGGGCTTTTTACAAGGCCAGCACATTACAAGCACACAAAGGGAGAAAAACAAAAACCAAAGCAGAAACAAGCATCATCTCATCATGCCCGCGTGAGCATTCCTTGCATTCACGTTATATTTCAAGCTAATGATCCTGAGATACATTGAGGTGGTTGTTATTCTTCAAGCACCAAGATGGCAGTGAATCATTATGAGCTTTTTGTGCATTAAGTTCACCATCTGCTTTTTGTCTTTTATGATACAGTAAAAAAAATAAAGCAAGCAGCTTGGTTAAAATAATGAAAGCCTAGTTAAAAAAACTTGAAATAATCAAATAGAAATCAAACTTCCTCTCCTTAACAAGCAGTAGTTTTGACACATTTTGCACCGAGTCTCTTGATGCCACGTCCAGGAAGCAGACTGAAGTTGTTGCCAGGGATGCAGCGTTCCAATCATTAATTCATAGACCTCTACACTATTCACAAACCTTAATGAGACAGTTTTCGTGCTGACTTCTGGCATGTTCAGATCAAAAGCATAGACTATTTGGTCTTGTCAGTTTGCCTGAGCTCCATACTTTTCATTGTGCAGGTATAACTGTGCCTCTGCCACTCAAGCAGATGGAAGTGGGTACAAATCCCACACAGCAGGGAAAGCAAGATAATGTGTCAAACACAAGGCATGACGATGGGTCAGTTTTGCTCTGAACTCTTGCTACAGACGGGCTGAAGGGGATGGACAGGGACAACACCGGGGGGGGATGACCGGGGACAAAAACAGCGAAGCATTTACCTTTATCCCTGGGAGTCCAGGCAGCCCTGGAAGTCCTGGCTCTCCCTACACAGGAAGAGTGTGACATGTTACAGCCAAGCCAAGCTAAGCTGAGTCAAGCCTCATTTGTAGGCTCTTTGGGGTTCTATTAGCTCTAAACTTTATTTCCTATTTGTGTTTTCTCTGGCTATCAAGCTGCTGTAATTCTGAAAAGTGGCCTGCTGTCCTTAAGTGTATGTTGACTGTCATTTGCTTGCGGTAAGCACTAGCAGAAGGTACTCCACATGCACTTTCAAACCAACTCATGCAGCCATGGCTTGACAGCGTGATTAGTGCTTGTTATAACACTCAACCCTTCACAAAGTGCAACAGAGTTTTATTTTTTATGATTTTATTGGTGTGGGCAGGTGTGAAAAGTTCTGGTTCCTGGAAGGAAAAACTGTCAGATACTCTGGATTAAAGTTGCAAAAGCTGTTTGAGAGAGCTGCCGTGGCGTCAAGGTCGTTAGAGTTTGGCAGTGCTGGAAGTCGAGAGCTGGCCTATTTCTCCGTTACCAAGGTCGGGTCATTGTCAAGTTGAGAACTCCAGACTCCCATTACATGCAAGTTTGAGTAACGCGCAGCCATTTGATTCAACAGTGGAAAAATCAGAGGTCGAGTCCCTTGTGACGCCTCTGCAAGACTTTGCAAACAAAATTTCTGACTCTGGATAATTTAACGCTCTATTAAGACCATTGTATTTATGGCATATGAAAATAAATGATTAGCACCGCATGAGAATGATCAACTGTAATGGCACTCGGGGGATCAGGGAGAGGGCTGTAAATTTCCATTGTGGCTAATGAAAGCATTGTAAAACTAATGAATAAAAGTCTTTCTTGTGGACTACCACTTCACCAACATTGGATTTCCATCCAATGGCAACATTTAATGGAGAGCAACGACTCAATTTTGCGATCAGCATTTCGATGAGAAATACGACGTGTAAGTGTGTCAGCATAAGCAGAATGGCTGTAAAATGAGAGATAAGATAAAGCAGTCAAAAAACGTGCTAGGCCACAAGTGTTTTCTTTGCAGTGAGAGCAGGAAAAAAACATTTTAAAAAGGCATTTGCTAAAAGCCCTTCTGTCTGTCGGTCTGGAATCAGTTTGTCCACACAGAGAAGAGAGAGTTGAAATTAATGGGGTGCAGCACTTGGGATTAAAAGTGTAATTAGATGGAGCACTGGTGCAATCTCGGCAGCAGTCTGGTAAAAGGACAAGTAATGGTTTTTATTTTGCAGGAAAATAGCTCCTCTTCTGCTGCATGCTTGTTTTATTAGTTTCTAATTAGCAACTGTTTCTTTAGCAATATTATTACGGTTTCCTTTGTTGGCTTGGAAAGTGTGTCAAACACTAGGATAAAATTTGGCTGGGAGAGAGAGGTCACACAGTACCAAGAAACATTTCTCAAACAACACAAACTTGTCTAGTTGGACTGATGCAAAGCAAAGTATTGGGATGACCTGCTGGTTTTAAACTCTGACAAGTAGAGGTTACAGTAAAATAAGAAAAAAAAAATCCAAAAGATTTAATATATCCAAGGGTGTTCATAAGATACCTGGGACCTTACACTGGCTCAAAACAAGTATCAAGCCAGAGTAAATGAAAAATGAGTTGGAGCAGTGTCAAGTTGAAGTGTCAGGTTCTGTTCAATAAGACCCCCCCTCCATGTACAACCACCCTTATTACACTTTAAACAGTGAGGTTCAGCTGAGTTAGGAATGCTCTCATACAAACTTTTCTATCTTGCACAACAAACCAGAGCTTAGATGTGGGTATTCACGATGATGAAAAATAAAGCAATATGTTCAGCCAGTCCAATGCGTTACTCCCATAGTCACTTATCAATACTGGAATCACTATTAACATTAACAAACAACATATATTCAACAAAATGTAGCTGTAGTTGGGCCATATGATCAAAACTGTTCTACTGCCACTGCTACACCTATCTCTGTTTACTACTATCTACTGTGTATGGAAGAGCAATGTGTAGTAAAGTGCAGTTATTACCTTTTGTCCACTTCGTCCAGGCTCTCCAGGTTCACCCTGTAATACATGCAAAGAGTTTTCTTTTCAACCGCTTCATTTCAACTACCTCCTGGTTCTAAATTGATGATTAAATTAACATTGGCTTAACTTAACTTGGCATAATGTTATTTGAGATACAGAGGTTTTTTGGAGATGTAATTTAACCAGTTTACGTCACTCTTAAACAGCACTTTGATAAAGAACAGATATGTCGGCCATATTCCTACTCTTCACTCTGAATGGGTCGCACATGCTAGCAAGCTAACGTTCGTTTTGGAGTTGGTGAAGTTAGCTTGTTTAACAGTTACACCTGGACGTTTCTTGTTATAAAAATTGTTGTTATAAGATAAGTTGCGTAAATATTTAATAACAGCTACTCGCTATGTAACAACAAGTTAGTTTGTGTGATGAAAACCTTTGTAATTTAGTGACACATTAGCTTAGCTCTTACCTTGATTCCTGCTGCAGAGGAGCCCGCATCTCCCTAAGAAAACGGTAAAAACAAAACCACAACAAATGTTTGAGAGGTACAACATGGAAAACGTTCCAAAAAGTGACAGAGGTTATTACGAGACTCGATGGGGGCTTTTCTGTCACGTCACAACAGGAACAGACACGACAATTACAGTGACAAAAGAAGCCTATTTTTACTAAACAATGCAGAACATAACAGAACACAACTTCTGCTGGACAGAATTGGGTGAAAATCCAATTAGAAAGAAGATTGTCTGCTATTCTAAGCTGTGTTGAGATTGAATGTACCTTCTCACTAAAGTTTGAGCAGCATTTTTTTTATATAACCACAGTGCTGGGGACCATTTCATTGTTTTTTACACTGTCAGAGTGCAGCTGCATACTGGTGTAGACATGAAATCTAACACTATATGAAAAAAAAAGCACAACCATGGAGGTATGGGGCTTGACAGATATACTGTACTAACGGCGACCATTTAGGCCATTTTTTCCACTGCATCTCTTCAGGTAGGGTATTGAACAATAAAGAGACAGAGCTACTTGTATCATATTTTTCCAGCAAAGTCATCCAGACATCCAGAACCCACGTCCTTTCCTATGCAGTGCATTACTTCTGCAGTGTACAGTAAAAACATACATAAAACAAGGGGCCAATAAGCGTAATTATGGGCGGTTGGTGGGAAAAAGGGAGCGGGGAGAAGGAGACTGGGTCTTCAGCTCTGGTGTGGACTCTGTGGTTTCTGTACACATACGCCTTGCGCTCAGAAGTTGCTGAAGGAATGCCTCTCGCCCTCAGCTTTTTATGGGACTCATTACGATGCATAGCACACAAGGCAATGTTTAATTGCGGCAATTTTTTTTGCAGACAATAAACTGTGTTACTGTTTACAGCTGGGCTTTGTTGCATACCGAAGGGTGCCTCTCTCTCCCTATCTTAAAACGTATAATTCAAATTTTTATATGAGTACTTTCTTACTATATATTTTATTGAGGGTACAGAAGATCTAAGAGGATGAACTTTTTCGTTGGCTGTGTAAATGGGCTCCTCATATTACATTAGAGAAGACAAATGAACGGCTTTTACGTGATTTTAAAAGATGAAGTGAAAACGTTTTTGGTCACATACTTAAGAAACAACATGGATGTCATGTTGTGGTTGACCTAAAAATTATAATAAAAAAGGAATTTTTATACAGAGGCCAATTAATCTGACTTTTTGTGTCTTGATTGAATAATTGTTTCAACAAAACAAACATCAAAGTCAGAGCTGGTTTACACCTGTTGCTTTTTGGCAGGGACAGTGCCTCACATCTGTACTTAATTGGTACATCTTATATAAAAAAAGAAACTACAAAAGATTTCAACTTGTTGAGCTCATAAACAACCTATGGACTAAATGTAAGCATAATTCATGTTTTTCCCATATTATTGTTAGCAGAACGAGAACATCGGGAGCTAATATTGTGAGAAATAAGAATTTAAAGCACAGTTCACACACTTGGAATCAAAAAGCCACTGTGACCCATGTGAAAACAAGTATCAGAGGATGCTATACCAGCAATTAACACTTCAAGCCCCTGCTGCTGAACTGATATATCCCACTGACGTTTTCTGTCATGACAGATCTAGCACAAGTGACACCAAGCCCAAGAACCGAGTGAGAGTTTTCACGAGTTTAATCTATTCTAAATGAAGTACTAGAGATGGAAAAAGTGGTGAAGTTGGGAGGTGAGCTGAGGTGTGGCACAGAGTGCTGAAATGTCCCAATTGGGCCAATTACCATGGTGAGGCTACAGCCTGTGATTTAACCACAGAGCAGAGCAAGGACAGAGAGCTGTCACCACAGCTCCACTTCATTATAGACACCCAGAACTGTCGCTGCATATTGCCATTTAAAGATAATAGCATGGAGATCTCATAATATATACTTAGTAAATCAGGCCATTTTCCAGCTGTTTGCTTAGTGAGAGCGAATGAGATGGAGAGGATTAATCAGCGAGCAATGAAGCCGAGACAGAGTTGTGACAAATGTAACCATTAAATGTCACCACAGCCCTCAAAACATGACTCCTACTTCACATTATGGTCATTAGTAAAGATGACCAAATTCAGCGGCCTTGGCTGAATATCGACCTCAGTCACAGAGTTAGAATATATGTGAGGCAGCACAGATTATGATTGGCTCCCAGGGCAGAAAAGGCCCTGCCAACAGTTGAAACGCGGCCAGTTCACAAGAGCTTGGACCGGATCTTAGGATTCAAAAATTATACCAACCACTGTGCCACACCGGCCAGAGCCAAGCGCTCACAGTCTGGAAGTTCCCAAAACAAATTCAAGAGTTTACTTGGGTTTATTATTCTTTTTTTCAACCTTTTCCTATCTCTGAGGTTCGACTTTTTCAACAAGAAGAGTCACAGTTAATTTCACAGCTAGTTAAATACTTAGGCAGAATGCATCAGAAGTAAATGGTTTAGAACTAAAGCTTTTAACTGTGGTAATGATTGGTTTTAAATGAGGCCAGGGATGGACGTGCAGAGGCTATTGGAAACATTTCTCTTCACAGTTGATGATGGCTTATGAAAGCAACACAGCAGGTAATGTCTTACATAAATGTACACTGTAAAGAGTGGTGGGAAGTAATAAAGTACATTTACTCCAATACTGTTTTCCTTTTAAGCTACGTGTTATTTGATGATTTACACTTCTTTACATGTTTTGATCGTTAAAATTATTGGGAACATTGCAGAACAGGATTGTACATCCAGAATGCGTGATTATCTTAGAAAATATGATGTATAATTATAATATGTTGTTGTTTGAGGCAGTTTGATTAAACACAACTTTATTTAGGAATATGCACCATGTGAGCACATTATAAACTAAAATTAAATGTTAACTTAGATTTTTCCACAGGACTCAGGTCAACAAATATAAATAATGCAGGGCCTCGGTTGACACATACTTTAATTGTGCAAACTTTTATGCATCTCTAAAGCTTACTAATTAACACATTGTAGCTTATTTGTTCAACATGTACAAAAATCAAAGTGTAAAAAATTACATTTGGTGCAGTTTTCCTGGTGATTATCTGCTGGATATTGCCAGGCAACCATTTGAGACTCCAGGAAGTTACTGATCCTGGCCAAGAAATAGTTGGGCATATAATCACCCATAAAATGGCAACATAGTATATGAGAAATGCTCATGATGCTCATCATAGCATCAATCTTCTTAGCAAACTCTTGGCAAGAAAGCAAATAAGCTTATTTCTCAAAAAGTCAATCTACTCTTTTAAACCAGTTGACAAATAGTGAACCCAGGGCTGCCTCACAGATATATAAGTACGAAGTAGTTACATTATTCAATAATGACTTTTCATACATAACAGCAAAGAGGAACTCTTTTTTTGTTTTTGTAGATTCTGGCAGCCCCTGTGGACAAAAGCAGTAGCGTTCCCAACACTTTGTTTCATTGATACCAAGGGGAATCCAACTGAATCCGGCAGCCCCTAAGAATAACTATATAAAATTAGCCAATCTTCTTACTGATGGTCTGCTTATGTAGTATGTAATGATTTTATAGAGGCATCAGTATTGAACTGTTTCATAACCAGCTAAAAACTCCTTGTAGTAGGTTTAAGTACATATTATGCCCTGTCATTTAGTCTCTTTCACACTCCACAGATCCCCCGCCGTCAAAACAATCTCCCGCAATTTCTCTCCCCCTCTAGTCTGTGGTCCCTGAGGTCTCTCTGCTCACCATATCGAAGCTTTCGCTGCCTCACCTCTCACCCCGTGTTACCACATTTTCCCTGCGGTGCGTGCTGTGTATTGTTAACTTTGGCATCTTCAGTATGGAAGACTAAAGATGTTCCCCCCTACCGTCCTCTGTCCCATCTACCAGTGAAACAATAATATCAGGGAAGAGCAATGGATCAGACACACAGCTCCGATGACAGGAGGCTCAGAGTGGATATACTGTATGTGAGCATGCATAAGACTTTTTTTTCTTTTCACTAAAACAATCTCTGAAAAATCAATCAGTGTTTGGTGCGTCTGACATATGTTAAACCCATGTGGATGTATACTGAGTTATATCTTGACTGAGAAACAATTATTCCAGCCATATGTGCACTATGTTAAAAAACACTACATCCTGACATTGACAATCTGACAAGATGAGGTAATCCTATCCATACTAATGAAAAAATCCTCCCTATTTCCAGGTTACACTCCCTTCTGTCTCTTTTTATTGTGAAATACACGAATATGCTCTTGAAGAATGAATGGCAGGTGACTGGCTACAGAAGTCACAATTCCCATAACACTCGATTTCACTTTTTATTTTTGACTCCTGCGGCCAAAATCTTTTTCCCCCCACTTTTACTGCATTAAGGTAGACGAGATCAAAGCGGTGCTCGAGCTGCAAAGTTTTATCGCCCTCTACTTTCCTTTTTGTTCACTCATTTTCCACAGATGATATCCTGCATCTGTTTCCCTCAAACGGTGTCTTTCTTGGCAGCCGTGTTCGGCAGTCTTTTAAAAACCAGAGTACCCATAAAGTGAGAAGTTATCAAAGTTGTTCTCTGCTGAACAGCAGTAAATTGGCAGTGACAGTTTGAGTACACTGCTTCTACTCCGATGCTGGTCTATCAGTTATGTTTTGTTTTTATACCTAATTCAGTGTTTCCAGCGAAAAGCAGTGTCAATAGTTTATTTGAAAAAAAAAAAAAAAATAAGAAAATCACAGTATTTTGACAGTTGTCTGCTGTCTGTTCTTAGCAATTGTGTTACCATTTTGGCAACTTTGGGAAGAATCTATCTTTTCCCAGAAGTGAGCAATTCCAAATCAGCACCGGCTGATGTAAAGCTGAATCAACATTTTCAAAGCACCGTTTATTCCAATCCATAATTGTTTTTGTTTCTGAAATTCTTTAAAAGTTTGAATGGTAAACAGGCCCAAACTTTGTCATGAGGTCACCCAATACAAATACGGCTGTGACCTATTTTCATAAATGCTCCTTTAACAAAATAATAATGGCAAAAGCAGCGTCAAGTCCTGGATAGAATGCATGATCTGCCGCTGGACATGATTTCCGTATACTAACACAAAACAAAAAAACAAAACTTTTCCAGAAAACAAAAGCTTTTTGGACAGAAACATGAATCTATTAGTTTAGCTCCGAACAATCTGTCCAGCAGAGCTCCACTCTGCCTTTTGCTGGAAATGGATCCCAACTTGACAAGCTGTCTTGATGATAAATGGTCCCAAATTAATGCAGGAACCATCCAACCAGAAAATGTAGCGTCAGCATAGCATAGCAATTAAGTCCACATTAAGCACAAAGGATGCATCAAGTGCCAGGATGATTGCTGTTGTGCAGCCTTGACTACAGCTGATGGCACTTGACCTCAGTTACTTCTGCTGCTCTCCAAAGATCTCCTCTCAGATGGCTAACATTAACAGTTTTTTTATGTTTTCCGGCCACAACCAAACCCCGCCGTTTCTCTGTGCAAATTCCAAGAGAATGAAAGATAAAGCTGAATTTACATACCTTCTCTCCAATTTCACCTTTGGGTCCGTCTTCACCCATATCGCCCTGTGATAAAATCACACAGAGGTAATCAGTTTATTGATCGAAAGAAATGTGGCAAATCAAAAAAAGAAAACTATCTTAAACATGATTGCCGGATTGTTTACATGCACATAACACAAAGTGATTGACTGCCCTGTAAAACTGTGTAATGGATGCTTGGAGAAAAAGCAAAGCACACTGTAACAAAGATGAAGTACCATTACTGTACATGTTAAATCCACTTTGGTCACTAACTGAGTCATCACACATGGTTCAAATACTGACTGACTTCATGTGATGTAATGCACTCTGTGGGGCATTATGGAAGTCCTGGCATCAACTATGAAGAACTTCACTCCGAAATTCCCAATCTTTCCATCTTAGCTTTGTGAAACAGTGAATGTCAGTGTTGTTTCTAGCCATGCTTGTGGCAAGACTCTATGGATAGTAATGCTGGTTGGCTGGACGGTCTACCCCTTGATATCTAAATACTATATAAAATAATATATAAATATATCAATAAACGATGGATTGCCATGAAATGTGGTACAGACAATAATGTCCACTTCATAAATTCAACATTGGTGACCCTTATTTCTTTCCTCTAGAACCATGATCAGTCCAATATTGTTTATTTAGTTTCTTTCATTTATGACCAAATAACTGCAAAGCTAAAGCCATTCTGGCCAGCTGTACTTTGTTTTTAGTTCTAACTAGCAAATGTTGGCATGCTAACACACTAAACTAAGATGGTGAAATGGTAAACATTATACCTGCTTACCATCAGCATGTTAGCATTGAACATATTAGCATGCTGACATTAGCATTTAGTTTCAAAGCACCACTGTGCATAAATAATAGCCTTACAAGAGCCTGTAGAGTTGTAGACTCTTGGTTGCACAGATTCCTTATGAATTGCACTGCTATAAATCCAGCTGATTTACAGTCAAGAACATTAATAGCCTAAATGTTTCAATTTGTATATATTATAGTATATATATATATATATATATAACTAGTATATATATATAATATATATAAACATATAATATATATATATATATATAGCAAACAAGGATTTAAAATAAAGGGTTGCCCTTGTGGGGGGATCCTCATGATGTCAGAACTTCGAAAAAATAAGCCATACTGTAATCGGCTCTGTGCTTCTCAAACAATCATTTATTTTCCTGTTAGAGGCTAGCATTGTTTTTCTTGCCTGCTTGCTCTTTAGTTAGCAACCAGAGCCAAAAACAACAATTTATGTTAACATGGCTCCTCTCAAAATAAAAAGTACTTTGGAGTGATTTTCAGTGATGTCTTTGGCAGGGAGGTCATCATTTCACTTTTGATAAATCCACATTATTTTAAATTAAGTAAATGATAGCCTAATAGATTGTGAATCATGCAATTGAAATCAAAGGTTTTGTCCTTGTGGAGACTATTAAAAAGGAACTTGCTATCCCAGGCACTGTGCTTGACATAAGGCACCCATCTGTTCCGATGGATTGCGATTAGTAAGAACTTAAAATGACTACTAGCATTGAGTCAGGATTTAAAAACTTGGTTTCCTGAATTTGCCTTCTGGCCAGAAAACAGCAGTTTATGTCAACAGATCTGGCTCCTCTTAACATAAAAACCTTTTATACATATCAAACAGTAATTGTTTATTTTGTCTGCCTCTTCTCTAATATTTGCTTTTTTAACAATGTGCATATAAAAACTCTGAACAATAACTCTTTGTGACTGCTCATAACTCATAAACATGCAACCTGTGACAAGGCCCAGGGGTAATGACGTAGCTGTTTTAAGCCAAAATCTTTGGGATCGTCTTCAGAGGCCAGCGCACACCGATCCACCTTGTCAGACCATTCAGTTCTAACTTTTCTGAACACACACCAAAACCATCTAATTCAGTTTCTATTGAGCCATTATTTGTATCCAATTAATTCTCCATAGGACAGCGATGATGCTGCGGGCTCTGGTTGCTAGAAGATGTGTGCCCGCACAGCCTTATTATTACAGTGAGTCAGGTGTGTTAGATGTAGGGAATAAGTCTCTGATTTGAAGAAAAACTCAGACCAGCAACTGAGAGCAACAGCCTGATGGCTAGTTTTGTGGTCGATGAAGAACAATGAGTCATCACTTTCCTCCCCAGCCTGTCTCTGTCTTGACTGGGTCAGTGTTCACACCTCCCACCCGCTGCTGTCCAACAACAGAGAATAAAGGCACCATTAGAATTAGGGAATGGAGAGAATAAGGCTTTTTCCTCACTGAGGCTGTAGTGTGGGTTTAGTTTTTTGGTCTCCTCCAAGGCCTTTTTGGAGAAATTGGGTTCAATTTTGTGACTCACTGACTCACTGATGGCCAAATCTCAGAAGGGAGTCACCTTTGAAAAAACAAGCTGGAGTTGTGTGAAGTAAAAGCAGAGCTGCCATCATTTTTATCACAACGGCTGTTCTAACACATGGTGTGATATCAAGACTGATGCTAACAATAATGTTTGGTGATCTGAATTAGCACTTTACCTTTTCACCTGGCTCTCCCATTTCACCCTGTTGGAAAAGAAAGCAGAGTATTAAAGACAGAAAAGCTCAGGGGGAGTTGGGTTCAGTTTGGGAATTATTGCAGCCACTAAGGGTTAGATTGTATCTTGGGTTAAATTCATGTTAGATTATCGAAAGCCTCTTGTGTTATGACTGCTTTTCCCCCCAGACAGAGCCAACAGCTATCGGCTTTTTGAAGCGTTTCTTTAAAAATTGCACAGTGATTACTGAAAGTTGTCAAAATTAACAGGCCAGAATCCTACTTACAAGGTTATTTCACCAGAATTTCAAAAAATTTAAACCTATATGTCGGAACAACTATCACATTTAATTACACATATGAATATCTGCTATGAAGGTGACATGTTCCTATTGATATTGTGGCAAAAACGGATCATGTGGACATGATATCCAACAAAGATGAATGAAATAATATCTATGTTTTCTAAAGAATGAGAAACAAAATGTAAATAAACTAAGTATAATGAAAAATAAGGAATAAAAAGGGTCATAAACATGATTAGAAGCCCCCAAAAGTTTAATGTTTCTCAAATGGAAAGGGATGAAAAATTATATATGACTTCAAAACATGAAAAAAAAATATGATCGCGATGAATTTACAAGAATAAGAGCACACAGAATGTGTGACCACCAGACCTTGGCTCCAGGAACACCGTCCAATCCTGGGATGCCAACATCCCCCTATGGACAGCATAACATACACACAGTGGCTGTATTCAGTGTGCTGATTAAGCAACGTGAACTCTGATTTCAGGTCAGAAGATACAAAAAGCTTCACATTTTCATTAGAGATAACCTCTGACATTAACCTATGGTTAAGTTTGCTCATTGCTGCACAGGTGTTATGTATTTGCAGGATAGTTGATAATGGAGCAGTAGATAGGATAGTGTGTTTTACTATATTGCAATCAACGGACACTCAATGTGTTCATTTTCTGCTACAAATGAATAAATTTCATACAATTCAACAAAAAGATCAAAAATCCAATATTGAAACCACAAACTAAATCCAAAAGTAGAGAGGATAAACAAGCTGATTAAAAGCTTAATTATTTCTGGTCTGGTTATGAACATGAGCAAAAGAAGAAAGCCAAGTCCATCTGATGAATGCCAGCCCGCTGTTAGTGAGAGTATGAATCCCAGAAACCAACCTCAGTCCATCTGTTGCCAAAAACAATTAACCCCCTGACCTTTGCAAACCTACCACATCATTAGCCTTTAGAAGAAGAGCAGCTATTCCTCAACCCAGAGAGACAGCTTTAACTGGGTGATGCTGATTAATGTAGCCACGATGGAAAATAAAGCAATCTATTATTCAAATTAAAAATACATGTCAATGGGCTGCTCAATACTGACCATAATATAAGCAAAACTGTTGTATTGTATTTTATTTCATTTTTGTAAGAAAAACTGTTTCTTTTTCTTTCTCGGTTTCTTATTGTTGTTTGCATTTTTCCCACAATGCTTTGTTTTTACAAAGCAGCTACACACCAGTGGTGAAACTCTTCATAAAGGCTGGAATCTTATATCATCTGTCAGCCCACATATGGGAGTCATTGACATAATGATGATGATATATTGCCATAATGATGATGGAGTCTGATTAAAAACTCATAAACTAGGGCTGATAAGGTTTGCGTTAGTGAGCCTCTCCTTTTAGTGGATATCTATGTCAGATCAATATGATGTCTGACAGTCAACCTGCCACTGCTGGCAGAGTAGCCTTTGCTGTTTTAGACTTCAACTTTCTGCATGAGTGACACTCACATACCATAAAGGATTCGGTTTTATAGCTGCATTGCACAGCATTGGAGTTCTATTTCATGGGTGCTGGCATAACCACACTCCTTACACAAGTATGGAATTAGGCCTTCAACTCAAAAAGTCAGTATGGCTTTTCACTCCGAAATGAAACTTCTTTACTCTGGTTCCTATTACAGCATGCGTGCCTCTCTGCTTGTATCTTCGTAAATGCATGCTTGAGATTCGAAAAATGCTGCCTTACTCCCCATTCATTCTCGTCACTTATAGCGTCCTTTGTTCTGGAATAAATGCGTTTCTCCATTTTTCACTCATTGTGCAACACCTGCACTGTGTCTTCTTTATTCGCTTTGAGAATGAAATTCAGAAATGAGCTGAGAGTGTGAGCAGATTCACAGGCAGCTCAAGACTGTACTTTGTGGTTAAGACTTGAAGATGCAGCCCAAGGGATTTCTCCCAAATAGGATAGTGGTTTGAAATTGTCAGAATGCATGGCAGAACCTTTCTAATATGAAAAGTGTAACACATGGCCACAAAGACTAATGAAAACTGTAAGTATGATAAAGTGAGCCTTCTGAAGATAAAATACATTCAGTGTGGATTGAGGTTAGCTTTCTGAACTCTTTCATGTGTAGTATTTTGTAAGGGACAATGTTCAGACGGGCTGCTTAATGTAACTGAAACAATTAAGCATGATTCATTTCCTGTAATGTAAAATATACATCTGAAGTCTTTTTAATAACTTTTTTAATAAAAAGTGAAAATACATTACGGTTCCCTTGCAAATCCTCCTATCTAATTCTAAACTTATTATCAGGATCTTTCACCTGTCTCTCTGAAAAATAAGATTTTACAATTGAATGAAATTAAATAATCTTTTAATAAGACTAGTTTGCAGCATTTTCCTTGGTGAAAGCTACTCTAAACAGCAAGTAAACATCAACATCAAATGTATAGTTTGTAGATCTCAACATAGGAGTAGCCTCACCTTCAGTCCGTCAACACCTGGGACACCTGGAAGCCCAAGTGAACCCTGAGAAATAAACACAAAGGCCTTTAGGTGTCAAGAAACTTAAAGCATGGGACACTATAGAGTTGCGGTTATCAAAAATTAAAATATGACAAAGTACTTTTATTTTGGCACAAACTAAACTATAGTTGCTTTAAAGAGCGAGCCTACAGAGGCACTTCTGAACAGGCCTGTCTATTGTTCCCATCCCCTCTTCAGCATGTACAGCCCTGTGTGTGCTGATCTTCCAAAACCAGGCCAGAATAAATATTGCATGTCATATTTTAGGATCTGAGAAGTTATAGACGATACGGGCCAGAGGGCAAGACTGGGAGTTGAGAATATTTCTGTTGAGTTTTAAACTGAGAGAAGAGAAAGTTTAAAAAACAAAAAGGCTTAATATGTACCATAGCTCTTATAGTCCTGCAACTTACTTAAAGCAGATGATTTAGGCTCTGAGGTTGTAACAAGCATGTTTTAATGAACTCCCACACTCTTACACAGTGGTTTGCTTATGTTGGCTATTTGTGCTTCTTTGTAATAAAAGTGACTTACTGTTACCATGGTCACATTTATAGATGTATCTGAGATGCGTAAAACATTTGGTATATAGACTTAGAAGTAATGGAAAACAATGAAAAAAGTAATAATAGTAATAATA